AGAAGGGGACTAATCGGACCGCCATCCGGTAAGGGCTGCCATCGTCATGCATCGTCACCATGCCGCAATTGAACTTTCCCTCGGATACCATCGTCACGCCTCGCTGGATTAACCCTCGCCCCGTTGGGGGGGGGCCATTTTGGCCCCCCCCTGTGGTTTTTCCTGAATAGCAAGAAAACGGCGGCGCGCAGCGCCGCCAAATTTTCAGTACCTTCCCGGGCATCAATTTGACACCTTCACACCAAATTTCAAGTCTTAGGTCACCTTAGGTCAGGAGTTATTGAGGTCAAACTGAGGTCATGTTCGAGCAAAAATGAGCAAAAAACATGCAATCTTGAAACGCTCACCAAATCTACAGTTATCAAGCAATTTCAAAGTTCTTTATATGGTCTAGTAGACAAAGAGCGGCGCTACAAAACTGCTATCTCGGATTTTCAAAATTTTTGGTTTTTGACCCAAAAAAAATCAAAAAATTGATTTTTTTAAAAAAACTTTGAAAAAATCCAAAAAATTTCCGAATTTCGAAAAAACCGGAATTTATGTGATAGTCCCAGCGCTCTTCTATATACATACCAAATTTCAGATCGATATCTCGTTTTTTGGCCAAGTTATAGCGAAAAAACTGTTCAAAAATGATGACGTCAAATTTTTGAACTCAATTTTTAGCAATTCTAGACCACGTACGGCAAACCAAAGACCACCATTGAACTCCCCGTGACGAGCTGCATCGATTCGATACCCATTTTATGCAAAAATATTAACTTTGAAATTTGACCTAATTTGACCTGACCTTGACCTGACCTTGACCTGACCTTGACCAAAACGTGATCTAAGCTGACCCCAAAGGCTGCCTGACCCATATGATCGCATTTGTCATGTAAAATGGACCATAAAACATGTATCACACGACACTTTCAGATTGTGACCCCCCCGTGACCTGACCTCTGTGACCTGACCTGGTATCAGTGACCTCAAATAGCAAAATATGTGTTTGAAGAACGTTTCCCCATCCATGATTTTCAATGAAATGCATTTTACTCGATTTTACAACGCATTTCTTGAAGTGCCTGTAAACGGTGAAAATTGGACCTTTGACCTGACCTGTGACGTCATCGGTTTGACCTAGGTCAATAAAATTGGGTCACAAGGTAGTTCCCCGTTGGGGCTATCCAACGCCGTTTACCGCTTGTCGCTATGTTGCGTGGTTCTCGAGATCTTAGGGGGGGGCCAAAATGCCCCCCCCCCCCCAACCGGGCGCGTTGCTCGGCAGAGCCCAACGGGGCGCGGGTTAAGATGTTTCGGGCGAATGGTAGCGAAGTGCCCTGGTGGTAGCACGACTGAGCCCTGAGCCCTGTCACCAGCCCCGAGTGGCGTCCTGGGCCGACAGTCCGAGACCCGCCATAAAACTGCTCCACAAATCGGCCGATCCTGAACTCATCAAAATAAAACCATCGGCACTGCAGCGCTCCGAGCTGCAGAGTTTATGGCGAATGGAAAGCTGCGAAATAGCTGTGACCCGCTCGGCATCAGAGACAAACACGAAAATGAGGGAATACAACACAAATGATTTGGCAGTGGAGGACAAAGTTGAGTTCATTCAGAATTATATATTTAACCGTCACACGACCAAACAAAAAAAAATGTCATTGCTGAAATCGCATGTCCTTCAAACTAATCCTGTGGTAGGGAAACAAGATGGAATAGAAATACAGGGGAAATAAGTAAAAAGAGGGAAACAAGATAAAATGAGGTGAGGGGGCAGGAGCAGGGGAGATAGAGGAGGAGCGGGGAGGATATACAACAGGAAAAGAGAACTGATCCAAATAAGCATTAAAAAATAAAATAATGCTCTAACATTGTTAACTTTCAATGCCACAACCATTTTCGCGCCCATTTGAGCACGCAGGTTCATCGACAAAAGATATTTGCAGGAGCTAAACCTGCTACCTTTGAGCAAATTTATGACATCCGGCCAAATCCGCCTGGTGATATGCAGATTGTGGCTCGCTGATAGAGAGCCTCGCCGCCGCTCGGTGGCAGCCGAAGAGGCATGATTTATTCGTCAGCCACCTGATATTTTCCCTGAATGGGTCTGCCGCGGACGGCCATTTCGGTCGACCAGTCCGGTCAGCCTACCACCAGCACGGTACCAAGGTGTGAGCTCCGCGGCGGCCGCTGGACGGGAGTACAGACACTGGACACCAGCCGTCCTTCCTCAGGCAGTATCAGCAGCCGCCGGACGGCCGTCCGTTTTCACCGACAGAATGAGACCCCGGTGCCGCTGCACGGCCAACAATACCGGTCGATGTCGGCCGTATGAATATGTTGATAGCCACTGACGAGGGCCGGACCAGGTGGTGGTGGCCGGCGGGGCGGGTGAGCAGGCGCCGGCCCCTGACCGGCGGCAGGGAGGCACAGGGGGTGAGTGTCCCTCCTAACCAGCTAATGAATTGGAGCGCACGGCACTCTGCACCCACCCCGCGCACCGCTCGGGCCGGAGAGGCGACCGCAGGAAGGTGTGGAATGTGGATGCCCCGCCAGAGTGAGCTATGATCGGGAGCAACAGTGAATACCAACTGATGACTCCAGCGGACTCATAGACAAAAATCCGGGTCGGGGAGCCATCGATAATTGCAAGTGCAATTTCATCAAGAAATGAAAAGCGCATAGAGTAAGGATAATCCCCGAAGAATATAGAATATTGTGAATATAAATCCCCACATCATATCGCACGTCCTTATAGAACCAGCCGAATACAATAGCGGATCAATGACAGCCGAGGCATCAGCCGTCCTTTCAATCGCACCGCCCACCGAGCGGCCTTTTAAACTTCCCTGGAAATCTTTGTCGGCCGCCGGGAATCCCTCCGAATCTGAGGAGCTCGGCGTCGTGCTGCGCCGCCGATCTCGCGGCGCCGTGCTGAGTTTGACAGCGCGGCGGCTGGCGCGGGCCGGTGCACCTAGCCGCCGCCCGACTCCGGCCACCGATAATCGATACGATGACATTTTCCGGTGAAACGCCGCCCGGCCGGGTTATGAGGCGCGGAGTCATCGGCGGCCAATTTCCTGCGCGGCCGCATGGACACTCCGATAGCCGGTGTTGGTTCTATCAGCAGCCGGGCGCGGACTGCAGACGGCCGGCCGCCAGCCGCCGGTGAAACGGCCCGCAGTTGGGAAACAGGGGTCCAACACAGGTGCCAAACGGTCGACATTCAGCCGCTGACAGGGCCGCAGGTGTGCTGCAGACGAGCCCGGTACACACTAAAGGGCCAACGTGGAACTCGATTATAAAAGTCACAAAGGATCACAAGGAACCGTTTCACTCCTGCCGCTTGCGTTCAATGGGTTGGATAAAATCAAGCAAAGAACAGGAATGGTTCGATTCATCTCTTCAATGGTGTTACGCACTATGCAGGACGCACCCCAAAAAGTTGTTCTCCATACGCGGCTATAAATCCTTTTCAAGGACCATTAATTTCAAGTCATTCTTTTCGCTTCTCTCGGAGAGTGATATGGTTTACGAGTTTTTACTTGCGTCGATAGTTCGTCCATCTTGTCGAGATGCTCGGTCATCAGATGGATGGTTCCCGCAGCTCTCGACAATAGTGCGGCTCGACTGCAGCCATCTCGGGTGATCCGACAATTTATCGACTCAAGTGACCGCAATAACCCCCGGCCCGATCCACTCAGTCCAGTGTTTCAATGAGCGCCGGGGAGTACCCAGACAAATGCTATGTATCACTTACAAATTTAATGTTCTTCTCTCAAGGAAACTTATTTATAAAAAGGGCACGGATTTCTTTAAAACAACGAAAGCCCTGCACTTCAAATTTTTCATCCTCGCAGTTCGTTAAACCACAACCCCAGATGAATGACCCCGCGGAGTTATCCGTTCCGTGCGAGCAGCCCGACTACGCGACCCCACGACCGGGTCAGCCTCCGCTGTTTATCCCATCTCTTCCTCCCGAGCGGTCATCAACCCCGTCCGCCCGAGGCGAGGACGCAGAGTCGTGCAGAGTCCTCCGCCGACCCGCATTCCGACAGAGATGCGCCGTGACCCGTCCGGGTAGGGTCACTTCCTGGTACCGCAGCCTCCGGCACGGGCGCAGCGGTGGGTAGGAGATAGCAGGGTACAGGTACCGGTACAGCGACCGAGAAGACCGGGGACCGGACTGGGACCAACAGCAGGACCAGACCGACCCAGAAAGGACCAGGACTGAGGGTTGGTCCTCCCGATCCGCGGCACCCGCGCCCCGCCCCCGCCGGCCGCCGCCGTCCGTTTGCGTGCGAGGCTGTTTGTTGTTTTGGCCGGCCGGCCGGGCTGCGTGCTCGAGATTGGGTCGGCCGCGGGCCTGCCGCGTAAACCAGCGCTTAGCGAGGCGGTCGCCGCCAATAACAGGTGCCCAGTGGCGGGCCAAATAACGGCCCTGTCGCCCGCGCTCTAATCTGGTGTAACTTGTGGGTGTTGAGCCCGGCCTCTCGCGGCAGAGCTAGCTGTCACAGCTGGAGCTGCGGTCGTACACCACAAGGCGCACGCAGCAGCAGCCACTGGCCATAATCCGCAGACGATCGCTCGCGCCTCGAATAACCTGCCAAACTGCGCGGCAATGGAGTGCCCTCATAACTCATAACTATTCTTAGTCGGCACTTCAAACCAAGTGCTCAAGAAGCATGAACGCCAGAATGAGGCATGAGAGCTAAGCACTTTCAGCCAGAGAGGCTTACTATCGAGAGAAGAGGGAGTGAGAGAGAAAGAGAAAGAGGGAGAGAGAAAGAGGGAGAGAAAAAAGAGAGAGAGAGAGAGAGAGAGAGAGAGAGAGAGAGAGAGAGAGAGAGAGAGAGAGAGAGAGAGAGAGACCGACCAAAAGTAACTCCGCAGTGCCCATGTCGAGACCCGTTGGACTGACTCATCCAGTGTGATGGACGCCCGAGCGACTGACTTCCTAACGAGCTGGGCGCCCCTGTGGCTCACCCAATGTGCTGAGCGCCTCTCTGACTTACCCAGTGTGCTGAGTGCCCGTTTTCCAGCGGCCGTCATGCCCAGGCAGGCGACGGTGTCGAGCGCGGCCAGGCGCCGGCTCAGCTCCTGGTGGCCGACCATGGCCAGCGCGGCGCGCGCGAAGCCCGGGTATCGACTCAGCACGTGCTCCGGCCGGTCGTGGCCCACCTGGCCGAAAAACTTCATCACACCTGCCAAAGGAGCCCCCAGTCAGTGGCAGCGCAGGCGCAGGCGCATTGATGAAAAATAAGACATCTAAATCTCATCTCTCATCCATGTTTATGGTCTGATGCTGCTTGGTGCTTGGTAGTGGCTCAAGGTCCTGCTATTCTCATGGAAGGAGAATAATTGTCGGCGATAATATTTTTATTTCCAGGAGCCGACCATGACGCCAGTTAGCTGCGATTTATCTCGAGAAACCAGCCAGCAGTTACTGGAAATGAAACAACTAAACTAACGATCAATGATGGTAGCCAACTGCACCTGATAAAGCTAGCTTATAACTGACGCTAGAAGACTGACTGACGCTAGAAGACTGACTGATAATAGCAGACTGTTGATGATAGTAGTAGAATGCGAGTGATGGTAGTAGATTTGACTGATGGTTTGACTGATGGTAGCTAGACTGATGGCATTTAGAGGGATGTCTGCAGATGGTGGCTGATTGTGGTAAATTATGACTGATGGTTCGACTGACGTGACTGTGACCGATAGTAGCAGACTGTGGCTGATCAGTGATGGTAGCTAATGATGTCTTCTGGCGACTGATGGCGCCTGATGGCGGCTGATGACTCTGACGGTGTGACAGCGCTCGGGTCAAAGGTCGAGATTGCCGCGGCGCCACCGGCACGCGACGAGCCGGCACAATGGAGCGCGGAACGGCCAATGGTTAAATAATGAGCCCGGGCGCGGCCAAAACACTGCAGCGCGAACACCGCGGCATCATTAGTACATGCCAGCGCTTGATGAGCTGATGGCGTCCCTCAGACTGCAGTGATACGACGGCGGCATGCGGCTAAGGACGGCAGGCGAGGCGGCGTGCCACACGAAGACACTATCCTAGACGGTATGCTGGCAGTGTGGGATCGATGACATCTGTCTGTCTGTCTGTGCTGTGCTGCGTCCAAGGTCTGTCCGGAGTCACACGGCAGCTACTGCCGGCCGCTCGGACCCCCCCCCCCCCCCCGGCCGTCTGCCCGTCTGTGTGTCTGTGTGTGTGTGCGGCTGACTTTAGCCGGGGCCCGGTCGATTCAGACGCGAAGAGTCGGAGGCAGGCAGCCCAGCCGCGTCCAGGGTAAATGGGATGGATTTAAGCCAGACTGAGTGAATTAGAGAGTAGATAGAGAGCGCCCCGGCAGGAAGGCGTAAAGTTAATCCGGAGAAAGAAAACTTGAAACACTGAGCTCCTCAGCCGCAGAGGCACGCAGTCCCCACTCCCCACATACTGCGACATGTATTTACCGCTTTTCAGCATTACCAGAGCAGTCATATATTGTTAGTGGGAGGACCTAGCGGCATATCAACAGCCTGTGCTGCTGACAGCATATTGATGCTATATAAAGCCGGCAGTGCCCGTGCGACGGAGGGCTCGGGCGCACCGTTTTAAGTCCGTATGATACGTGTTGCGTTACGTCCTATTGTAGATGTTGTGATGTGTTGCATTATGATGTGTTGTATTGTGCCGTGTTGTGTCGTACTATGTCGTGTTACATTGCAGCGTGCTATGCCGTGTCATGACGCACCATGAGTCGTTCAGTGCCATGTTACATGTGCCATGAATCGTGCCGTTCCATGCCGTGTGCAGTATCACGATCTTCATTCAAGACCCACCTGGTAGGATGTAGTCGTGAAGTGGGTGCTCGTCCGGCGCCGTGACCAGCTTCTCCAGCCGCTGGGTGACGCCCTCCGACTCGAGGTGGTCGAACCCGTGGTCTGGAGGCACACAGAGACGGAACGGCGTCAGATGGCGCGCGGTCAGAATCCGTGACCGGACACCATGTCCCCGAGGGACACGGAATCATGTCCGATGGGACACGTGCGCCAAATCGAGCGAGGCCGAGTCACGAACGGACGGCGGGGAGGGTCGGTGGTCCGATGGCATTTGGCCAACAAGACGTGATAAGTTCAAATTTGAACTAATGAAGGTTGTCGTTCGCCACCGCGCGGCTCCCCACCTGATAAGGTTAGCAGCACCTGTCATAAATGAGAAAATAAAGATAGACGTAATAGGAAAAACACGACATGCGACAAAAATACAGTGCAAGGACCATGTGACCCACGTGAACAGACCAAAATACCAATGCATGAGACCATGAGACTATGTAGGAACAAATTCCAAAGCACAGACCACGTGACCTGAACAGTGAACACTACTGGCTCAAATATCGTATACCACGAGACCCGAACAGGCTTCAGTGCGGGGAGGCCACAATGGGCACGTTAGCGGGCGCCGCCCGTCCACCGTGTGTCGCTGATTGCCCGCCATTCAGCGCCGGCCTTTGTGCGCCCTGCCGGCGTCGACATGTCGGTGAAACGGGCGTCGACATGTCGGTGAAACGGGCGCCGATCACCCCCAGTCCCCCCCCCCTCCCTCCATCCCTCGGCTCTAAACCACGCCCTGCCGTCAGAGGTCGGGCCGACCGCAAAGGCCGCAGACACGGAGCGCCAATCAAATTACCACCCGAGGTAAAAACTGGTACACGTCTTCGACCTTTGAACATCAAAGTCCAGAATACTGGCAGAATCTGATGAAAGACATCTATCATTCTGCATTCAAGGTAGTTTTTTCAGCTACTAGTCGTCTATTGTTGAAATAAATCCGCCCTATCTTTCCCGTGGCTGATGGCTGATATTTACAGAAATTGAGAGCAAAATTTGTGTGTGACGACGTTACCCTAACACGAATAACTTATAATTATATATCACCGATAATAGTTCTCGCTACCTATCGGAAAGGAAACTTGAAACCCCGATCGCTATGGTATGTACACAGCAGTCAGCACTGCACTCAAACTGACAAACAGACACAATGCAGTGGCCGTCTTAGTGCAAAAAACGGCCTATCTGTTCTCTGAAATGCAACACTTTATATTTGTATATAAACTCAATGGATTGACCTTTGATATACGACATAGTTTCAAACCACGCTGATCGGAATGCCGATGACAATCTTCTATTGCAAACTGTGGTGTCAACGGTACGACGAACCAGCAGAAAGCGGGACTGGGTGCAACTCAAGCCACGGGACAGAATGCGCCGCCGATTGACATGCAGCGCCCGGCGCGGTCGGATGTGCGCCGGAGCGAGACAACGACCGGGCATAGCACTGCAGCCCGGATGGAGACGCGTCCGGCTGGCCGTGCGTGCGGTGAGCGTGCTGGCGTGATATGGCAGACGTGCCCAGAGAGGGAATGGCCGGGGAGTGTGTACTGCAGTCGCTGGTTACGGACACGTCGATACGGACATGTGGGTGATGAGATATAACGACGGGTGATAGTCACGTGAATAGGTGCGGCAGCGGGATAGCTCAGAGATGCGAGGATCTTCTGCTATTTGTGACATAACTACCTAGTACCTACTCCAAAACATGTGGGGCACCAGCGAATGTCTACTCGGGTCCAGTTAATGACAATTCCATCGCACGAAGACAAGTAGCTTGTAATGCAGTACTTCTACACATAGCGTCCCTATAATTTTAGCGACAGGAAGAAACGATGTCTTCGTCTCCATCCCTAGTCAGAGCTCAAATATTTCTACATCGCCTCAGGTGTGGTAGGTCTACGCAACAGCTCATTCACATAGGTACATATAGCAAAGTATGTGGTCTACATTATCCCACCGGCCACCATTCATGTCGGCCGGCAAACCGAGTGCAGCAGCTCTGCCCACTCCGAGTGCCAGTGTGCGAGTGAGTGCCGGTGCGTGCTGAGTGTGAAAGCGCGTGACGGTCGCTGCTATGGTTTGGATGCTACTATAAGAGTTGCATGCTGGTGGTCGTTTGAGATCGGCGTGTTTTTGACCATTGATCCGGCGCACTGTGGACGGATTGTCACGGAGGCCAGACGCGAGATCGCCGAGTGGTGCTGCTAAGGGCCACACAGTTCAGCCAGGTCTACACAAGCCGAGCTTTGGGTATCACTCTGAAGTCGCGAATAGCGCCAAATTTATCCGCATGTTTTCGAAATACTGCCTAGCATATGCCACTAAATTCAGCTTACAACATTCGTACTCGCAAAAGACGGTAGCTGAAAGGGAAAAAAATGAAAAGTCATTGATTCCATATGCATCCATGGACAAATGAACTGACCAGCTCACTGCTCAGCCTCAGTCTCCATTGAAGGTGGGGAGACGGGCAGCGACTGATCGCGCTGACTGAAAGCAGTAAGGTGGGGAGGGGGGAGTTGTCCCCACTGAACACAGCGACTGAAGGTGACAGGACGCGATAGGTGATTGCCCGGACGTTACTAACCGAACTTGCTGAGAGTGATGGACGGGGGATGGAAAAGGTTCGTCACCACTGACCGCTCTGACTCGGGTCGTAGGTAAAACTGACTAACTGAGGGTGATGGTGGGATGTCAATAACTCACCACTCTGACTGAGGGTGGTGAGCAGCTCCAGAGCGTTCAGCTGCACCAGGATGTCCTGACCGAACGCCTCCTGGACCAGCGCCGGCAGGAGACCCACGTCCGTCACCAGCTTCATCCCTTCTCGCGACGAGCAGGCCACGCTCACCGCCACCTGTCGGGAAGAAAACAAACTAAAGCTTCCAATAAAAGCCTCCTAGGCCAGCAGGTCAGCCGCCGCCACATGTTCTTTCAAACATGGTATTTCGAGAGCTGGGTGCTAAAATTAGGGAGATTTTCACTCATAACTAATAGGCACTCTGATTACGAATGAGGTAGACATCACACGAATATCAGACAAGCTTTTAAAATGATGTCTGGTCTGCCTATCAGTATCATCCCGAACCCTCCGGTCGCCGACACTGACGGCAGCTGAGCTGAAGCGGTCGTTCCATCTACCATCCACCCACCTCATATCCTCGATAGCGGACCACGTCACTGGTGGCCATCGTCTGTCGCAGCTGGTCCAGCAGCGGCGGACTCAGCACCAGCAGCGCCTCCTGGTGGCCGTGACGGGCGAGTGACGTCACCACGCGCACGGCCGCCGCCGCCGGCGCCGCCTCGGCGCACCCTGAGCAGACACAGGCAGAGTGGCACCTCAGCAGCTCCAGCACAATGGGCGAGGCTGATGAAGGCATTGTGGTGGACAATAGTTTCACAGTCATAATTCACTGTCACTTTCACTGGGGCAGTCACTTTCAGTAGCTTCCCACCTAAATTTGATTATGCAAGCATGCATTATGTATGAAAGCTGTTGAGAGGAGCTAAACAAACTGTCAAACCTTCATAAGCTCAGACACAGGTAATGGTCAGGATTCAGTGAGTATTTTATTACTTCTTATGCATAGATAGAGGCAAAACCAGAATAGACCAGCACATCATTCAAAATAGCCTGCAGAGTACAGAACCATGAACATGTGACATAAAAAAATGTTATGATTTTTCATACTTTTTCTCTCCTCAAAATCAGCTTTTATTTCATAGTTCATAAATAATTCATTTCCATGCTGGTATTTATATTCAATCATGCATTCATCAGCCTACAGCAGCAGCAAGAATCCCAGGACCTAAATCTCAATCAATAGAATCCATAAAACTTATCACAAGCACACAGCTTACCAATGCAACTAATGATGTTCTTTAAAAAGCCTGAGTGCTGCTTCAGAATCTTCAGAGCATTTTCATCTGTGATGCATCTTTCTGCCTGAAATAGAGAACAAAACTCACTTTCAGTTTCCTGTAATGACAAAGAACAAAATGACACATTGGTTTTGAAGCTATATACCTACCCAATGTTCAATTCACTTTTAACTAATCCTAGCATACCTGCAGCAATACCTAAATTTCTTGTGGAGATATAATAAAAAATCAATGCAATTTTCATCCACTGTTTGTAAATAAGAAAAACATAGGTAACAAACACATAGGCATCTAATAATTATACTGATATATTTGAACAGTTTCAATGAAAACTATTCACTTTGAAGAACCCAAGACAAATCACCAATTTCTCTGAATTATCATCATTATGGCTCTACTGAAAGCTCAGAACTGAGCAAAAAAAAAATTATCTACCTGTTTGAGCACCAGCAACTTTACGGCCTCAGTTGGATGATTCAGAGCCCGGTCCAGCTCAGTTGGGTATCTCTGGATGTTGACTGTTGCTGGAAGTGCAGCCAAAAGTCTTCCCAGAACATCTGAAGATGTCTCCACTTGCTCCCTGTGAAATATATTGACAGGACCATAAGCATCATGACAAGAGGTGCATCCTGAATCAGTGCAAAACAAAGTACGCGGCATGTCAATTATAATATTTCAGTGATAGATACATAACTTTAAATGCTTAATGCATACAAATAAATTATATTACAAAACAAACAGACCTAACAATATTGATATTTTGATTTTTAAGCTGCTTAGAAGTGACCCTGGGCCTGGTCCCTAAAAACCAGGATCAAGGTAGCAGGGTAAAGTTCAAGTTGACTTACTTGCTCGAGCTGTTAAGGCAGTCAAAAAGTATCCTCAGGTCAAGTTCACCTCCTGCATTCTGAATGTGATCAATGCGAAGGGTTGAAAGAACATTTTTCAGCTCATCTAGACCGGACTTCGGTTCAGAAGAAATGGAAATGTTTTGTAGTAGGGCAGCGAGATCGCTCACGGACACCGCCATTTCAATTTCAAATAAATTCCACCTAAGAGTCAAGAATGGCCACCAGTTTCTTGAGGAGCTATAGCTTTGTTCGTGCCGGCTAATTTAATTTTGAGGCTGTGGAGACACAGACAATTAATATCCGCAGTAACCTCGAGTTTATTATGATTTGTATTGCTTTGGTATACAACCATGCGTCCGCGCGCGAGGGCTCGGGGTGGTCGGGCTGTCACCGGTTGCTGTCACCGGGAGATGACTCGCGCTTTGTTTTGTTGACATTCGCTTTTGTCTCACTTGCGCTGTCACTGTCGCCTTTCAAGTGTAAAAGTATTTCATCTATAGAAAAGCGACAGCTAAATAAAATTAAGCGGTATTGCATGTTGGAAGTGAAAATCAAAGAAGGTAGTAGGGGAGAGAGGTCATATTGCGCCACCTTAAGGATATCGGCCTATTGCGGCTAAAGTTGACCAGCTGTCATGCTTGATGATATCTCAAATTGTACCTCAGTTATTTTGGCATCAAATTACAACTCCTAATTTGTATCACACCCATAAAAATTAACAAGAGAAAAGTTTTCCGACGCACCTGCAAAGGGCGCATTTACGGACTACCCCATTAAAAAGCGCCCATGCCTCTCATGCAAAAGCGCCCTATTAAAAACAACGGTTTGCCACCTAACTAAGTAGCCTATTTGAACGTGTCAGCCCATTAACCATTTATGCTGTGAAGGCTATGGTAATGGTAAGGTGAGCGCTCTAATAATCAAAGTGTTCAATGAAATGTGTCCCAACCACCACATGCTGTTTCTCTGGGTTGAAGAATAGGGCGCAAATAGGGTGGGCGCAATTACGAATGGAACACATTTTTCATGAGCTTCAAATATGACGAGGACAGCGAAGCCACGGTGGTGATAAACTTTCAAAACTACCATTCAACGAGCAATTAACAATGATTATTAGTTGAATCACTATCTCTAAGATAAACCATGACAGTAGCAAAGGTCGAAATAGACTGTTTCGCGTAAGAAAATAGAGGAAATCACAAAAAATGGTCTGCGAGAAAGCTGAGACACCTCACCTGCCGCCGTGGACCGGAATAAGAGCGAGTTATTGGTGGTGAAGTAAATGCACACATTCGAGCATTCATTCGAATCGAATTTTGGACAGGAGGAAGGTGTGGCGCATTTAAGAACATGGCGCAATATGACCTCTCTCCCCTAAAGAGAGTTCGAAAGTAGTTCAGCAAAATCGATCCAACAAGATATACAAGATTTATTTTGTCGTACAAGATGACCGAACTATTATCTTATTTACAGTTACGCAAGCAGCCACAGACGCGGGAATTATGACCTGTCACGTTAGTTCAAGCAGAATGGCGCCTTGTGGAGAAGTCCGAGTGGGCGCTGCCCGCTGGGCACATAAGCATGTGAGCATCATTTGGTTCAAAAAGCCAAAGCTACCTTCTACCACTGTACTGAGAATAATGAGCAGTTATACACACCAGACTCTCCCAGCCCATGGAACAGGTTAAGAAAGTGAGCACGAATGTGGAAGCGAACACCCCATAACCACGGTGACCATAAATAGGCCCATAACAAGGCTATGAAAACACCTGACCTAAACATCAATCACAACTAGGCCAAGGAAACTGGTCTTTTCTTCGAGACGCCGCCGCTCTTAGAGATTGTGCTTGAATCGGAGACTGAGTGCCTTGTCGGGGGCGAATTCGCCGCGCCACTGCTGGCCTTCAGCATCCACCCAGATGCCCTGGCCGGTCACCTGGCTGCCGACGAAGCTGCCCTCGAAGAAGGATCCGTCCGGGAACCGGTAGCGGCCCGGCCCGGAGTAGTGGCCGTCCTGGAGGGTGCCTTCGAACGAACTGCCGTCCGGGTACTGGATGGTGACCTGGCCCTCCAAACAGTCCTCCATCCAGTCGCCGCTGTACCGGCCGCCGTCCTGGGTCGTATACGTGCCCTCGCCGTGCCGCATGATCCCGTAGCTCTTGATTTTCTCCTCTGGCCAGATCTTGTAGCCGCCAGAGTAGGAGTCCCCGTTGGGAAAATGGAACTCGGCCTCACCGGTTTTCTCTCCCGGTCGCTGCTCGATCACGTTTGCATCCGGAGTCACTTCTGTCGACGTCATTTTGGGGTCGTAACGAGTGCTAATATTGTTTTCGAAATTATCTCGCGCCACAACAAATAGATTTTAACTAAGTTAGATTGGTAAAAATATCACAACTTTGCAAACGGTCCAATCTCGCTCAGGGTTCTAAGACTCATCCGATCTCATCCGATTGAATCAAGGCCGATTGAATCACAGTAGTTTTAGGGCCAGGGTTTTGATCAGCATTATCGGCATGCAAAACTCAGCACCGTACATTACAAATACGTGACAAATGCTACTCGTATCACGTGCTTTATCTGGTAGGCAGTTACCATTTACGTTTCTTTAAACGGACAGCTTTGTCTCTTGGCAAAAATCAACAGGGACAAATTCATTTAATGCGGAAAATGCCTACTAATACTGAACGACAGGCAGCTGTCTATCAGGATTACAGGGAAGGGCTCAGAACATACATGTAAATATAGGGACCGGGCAGCACGGTCGGCCAGGCGCCTAGCGCCATTAGCCCACCTTGTTCGCATACGACGTCAGAGCGTCGCGGCCACCTCCAATTGTTTGTGCGCTGAGTGCTGGCCGACGGTGGTCGACTGTTTGTCAGCACAAGGCCGGCCGTCCGAAGGTAGACGGTGATTGAAGGGCTGACGGCGGGCGACGGCAGAGGAGCCGCGGAGCCCGCCAGCGCAGGCCGCCGCGACCAGACCCGCCGGCCAACCAGGTAACCGCCGCCCTCTCAGCCCCACCCCATCGACCGACCAGTCCAGACCCGCCGACCGACAAGTAACCGCCGCCCACTGCCCCACCCCACCGACCTACCAGGTAGGCTACCGAAGTCCCCTGTCCCACCCCCGTGACCGACCAGGTCACCACCGTTCTCTGCCCCGCTCCATCGGTCCAGGCCATGCAATCGTTCCCATCCACCCTAATCTCTCTTCTCAACTGGGAACCACCACCACCCTCTGCCCAAACCCTTCTTCAACCAGAACTGCTGGCTGATCAGACCCGACTGTCGACACCAGGTAATAACCCTTTTGCCCTGCCGTGTGTTTTAGCCATACCCACCACTCACCAGCCGAATAAGTAATAAACCCCTACCCGCTTCTCAACCAGGCGGAACAAGTGTTAGCTCCGCTCCGAAAAGGCTCAGGAATTTGGCTCCCCTTTTCCCTACCTTATCTCATTCCGGGTAACGCCAAAATTCATATACACGTTTTGCAATAAAACCCGCTCGCAATCGGTTGAATATTTCGATCGTTTCATTCTTATAGTGCGTGAAAGAATCGCACCTGATGAAATGTTTAGGAGTGCTATCGGGGACGCCCCCGCCTAATCTCGTTTGATGTTAAAATTTGAAGAAAAAAATAATTTGGCATCCATAGGCCTCTGTACATCGGTATACAGAGGTCTATGTAGCATCTGATGATATAATCTATTTCTGTAGGGCTCAAGCCCTTTTATCAATAATTGCATAGCCACGGTAATATGCTCACTTCGCAAAAATGTACCGTAGCCTGCAAACCAGTGGTGACATTGGATTGTCGGTACCTATGGTAACATAGAAGTAAATTATAAAGTAAGCGTTTATTTGAGTTAAATTTTCCGGGTCTCCATTCCATGCATTTAGGTGATTTGAAAGACAAATCTACCAAGGGGATGGGGAACTTAACTCTCTTTTGGACTTTTTATTTATGGTGCAAGCAAATTTTGTATCGTAAGACAGATCAATTTGGCCCTGTTGCTTCCTGCCGAGCGTAGGGGAGCACTCTTCCCGCATTTCGGTGAAGTCGGCGCGTCGCCGTTCTGTTGAGCATTTTCCCGTGTTCGTGCAGACGACGCGGCCCTGACCGCTGGCAGGTGGAAGTGGCCCGGCGCTGCGTTGACCGGGCTGTGACAGACAGGCTGCCGCGGCCGTCCGAGCTCGATTGAGCCGCCATTGACCATACGACGCCTGCCAATGGCAGAGCTAACAGAGACCCGACCCAGCTCCGTGACATTTCAGAGCGCAAGGGCCCCGCCAGCAGTGAACGGGAGCACAAACAATGAGTGTTGGCTGTTTCACCAACATGTGTGTGAAACCGTATACGTTGCTCCGAAAACTAACGTCCATTTGCATTTAATGCAGCCCGATACTGCATCGATAGGTAGGGGATGACATTATCACAAGCAATATCATCGGCAGGCGGCTGGTATTCGGCTGTGCTGAGCCGACCCGTCCTCAGCGGGGCTCACCATGGCGGAGAGTCGCTCGTTCTCGACACCGCCATTGGCCGGTGAGTATGTATAGCGGCTGGCCGCAGTGATGACAGCTGACGTCGCCGGCACCGTCTTTATCATACGGCTTAGCATGCGCACTTAAGTAAACTTTAACAGACAAGAGCTCATAGTATGAGTCATATGACGACTATCTATCTTCTTGTCCTTCCATTGCAGGTGTGATGCTGCTTTTGATTCTACTCACATGCGATTCGGTGGAGGGCCGAGCGTCACACAGACCTGGCGCAAAGGTGAAAGTCATTTCGAGGAGGGCGAACAAACCTTACGACAGGGTAAAAGGAGGTAAGAATTAAGATGGAAGCTACTGTTAGCAATGTAATACAAAATTTTCAACGGAAGGAAACCGGATGACACGAAATTATTTTTTTCTTCTTTTCAAGTCAAAATTACTTCTTTTCAACAGGGAATGTACGCATCGTATAGTCTGTGAAAACAGAAGTCAAAATACGTGAACTAGCGTTTGGCTCTGACGGCTCCCGATATGATTCTGACTGTGCCGCGGCTCCCGACGCGGTTCTGACGGCTCTGCCGGTTCGGCTCTCCTGCAGCCTGGTTCTGCACGCGCTCGGTGGCCGGTCTGGCCCCGCTGGACTCCAAGCTGGACACGGTGGAGCGCTGCTGGTCAGAGGCGGTGCGCCGGCGGGCGCGCTACCTGGCCATCGACCGGCGGGCGTGCCGCGTGGGCGCCTCGGCCCACCGTCTGCCCGTGGTGCCGTGCTCCAACACCAGCCGACACGTCATCGACGTGCAGTACTACCGGCACGACCTGGCGCGCCTCAACCCAGGTCAGTACTACCGGCACGACTTGGTGCGCCTCAACCCAGGTCAGTTAGCTGCAGAGTCCAGCCCAGGCAAATCAGCCACGGACATCAGCTAAGGTCAGACTAGTGAGAGAAAAAAAAAACTTATACAGGTAGGCTTGAATCTGTTAGCATCACGAATTCTGACTGACGGCACTGCTCAGCCATAATTTTCAATGCACCTATACAAAGCGAACGGCTAGGTAGGTGGTGTGTTTTCGCTTTCGTCACCGAGCTGACGCGGGCACGGCCAGCACTCAGCAGTGACCTCCGTCTCCTGCAGACACGCGGTACTGGATATCGGGACGCGCCGCCTCCGGGGTCATCTGGCACGTCGTCTCCGGGGCGGCGGGCGGTGCGCGTCGACTGGCCAAATGCTCCAACCTCTGCTTCCAGTACGGACAGGACTTCGCCAGGGTCGACCAGTGAGTATAGTATTAGTGAACCTGTGTCTCATTAGCATTCATAGACAATCTAGTGATGCATACTGCTTACAATATTGGACCCGATCTCCCAATGTTCACGACACTCGCCAATTATCTCGCTGCGCCCTGACGCGCGTGCTCCGCCCTCCCAGCCGCGGCTGCCGCTGTGGGCTGGAGGAGGAGCGTGGCACGGTGATGATCCGCCACGAGGACCTGCACTGGACGGCCGACCACCGCGGCGACTCGGACCCCGGCTTCACGGTGAAGCTGCGCGCGCAGAACGTCACCGGCTGGATGTGCACCGCGGCGCCGTCCGACTTCGTGTCTTTCACGGGCGCTCAGACCATGCAGGAGGCGCTGGAGGCCTGCCAGCGGCGCCGCTTCCAGTTCCTCGCCGCCGGAGAGTGAGTGGGCGTCAGGGCGACGATATGGCGTGATTTTAGTGTTCCAGCAATCCCTCACCCCACCGAGCATCACCTGCTGGACGCCTGGGGCATTCCACGTCAAATCAAACACCGAAATCCGTCATCCCCTTCGATTTTTCTGAAACTTTGTAGGCAGACTGGGCATGGTTCAAAACTGAGTTACGTATAATATTTTCGAAATTTGATAACGTATCGCTGAGATATAGGTCATCGAATATAGCGAAAAATGCCACACATCAATTTTTTAAATGGCTATAACTCTGGTTCCTTTTCTGGTATCAAAATGATATTAACAGGGTCTTATAGACAATTGATAAGGCTTTGATTTTTAATTATAAAATTAAATTGAAGTGACCTTGAAATGCTTTTGACCTTGAATTAAAACAGAAAAATTTAAATAGCAAAAAACACGTCACCTTCGATTTGGCTAATTTTTACATATTATGTCCGTCACAATGTTCCTAACCATCAGTGAAAAAATTGGAGTGGGCCATTCATAACTTTCGCGGCAAACGCCGTTTTCATGCATCAACATCACGCAACAGCGCGTGACCTTGAAAGACAGAGTCAAGACATGCTTGCTTGTGTACACTTTCTGAAATGAATGATTGCTGATTAGTGATATCCTAAACTCTGCGAGAATGGAAATGCATAGTCATCGTAGTCAAGCATTCACGTTCCATAGTAAAAGTGTCTCAGGCAAACGGTATTTTGCGGTGAATTTTGAGCCGTGTGGAAATGCATCATGAAGTAAATTCAACGAAAACATTATCACGCAACGTTATCTTCACGTCTTTTGATCTTCACTATACGAAAGGACATACATTTTATAGTATGTATGGGAAATTTCTAGTTAATCCAATAATAAATATGGCAGTTAAAGGCCTGCTAAGAGTAACATGTCGCCGGCTGCAAGGCGGGCTCGGCCGATGCGGGAAATGCAGCAATCACAATTTTCTGTTTACACGTTCATATTTCAATTGTTTACCAACCGATTTTCAAAATTCTTTCACCATAAGATTGCCTGTACATTTCTTAGTCTTCTCACAAAATTGGACGCGAATCGAACGTAATCAGCGGTAAGGAGCGCGATGTAAAGACGGAACCGCTCCGTTCCGTCCCGGCACAGTCTACAATTCAGGCGGCGCGTAGCGGTCGGCGCCGGCTGCCGAGTCGCCGCGTCGCTGCGGCGACAGGATGTTCACTTTACACCGCTATTACTAGAACAGTTGTGAACCGATTTTCTTATTGCTTGCACGATGAGATGTCCAATTCAATTCTTGACAGGTAGCCATAATTAATTTCGCATTAATCTTATGAGATATTGGAGAAAAACAGGAGGGGTGGGCGAAATTCGCTCTTCCTCCTCCACTGCGCGTGCTAACATATGTTTGCATATGTGCAATTTTCTTCAAAACTTATGAATGGCCCACTCTAATTTTTTCACAGGTTGTTAATAATATGGTAGGCAATAAAATATATGAAAATGAGCCAAATCGAAGGTGACGTGTTTTTTGCTATTTCGATATTTGTGCTTAAGAACAGAGTTAAGCAAATTTCAAGGTCATATATTTAAGTAGGTGCAATTCTAAACAAATGCTTAAGAAATTACCTAAACAGTAAGGGTTATTTCATTCAAATCAAACAAGTACAACCAAAGTTATGGTCGTTCAAAAATATAAAGATGCAACATTTTGTAAAAATTTGATGCCCTATATTTAGAAGACCTGTGGTCAGAATGTGCAAAAAACATCAATGTAATGTCCGGGGCCACACAGGAACTCGCTCACAAATTTATAATGAAATCGCTGATGGTAAGGTGCAAAACAGCCGATTTTTGTTCGATTTGACGTGGAATGCCCCGCCTGCTAATCGCGGAGGCAGACAGCCTGGAATGGTATGCTGTTCCGCAAGACTGGAACGTCCTGCGGGTCAGCCTACCACCGCAGACACGCCGCCCCGGCCCGGCACAGATAATAATAAAAACAGCCCATCCCTGAGCTTGAAATGAGTATGAAATGAAAAACTAGTGCGGTTTTCGACGAATTTAGCGTTCGATTTATCGATATTAATCTGACCATCATTGTATTTTACTTCACCTTCGTAAACTTGTCTTATACCATGCGCCAACAATATTTTCAGATGTCCCTGACTGATTGGATGCCTTTTTAATTTGTTACAAACGGTTGTTACTTGTTAAATCAATTAAAAAAAAATATTCAACAGCTTCCACTGATTAATACGTCGCCCTCGCCCCGTCACTGCACCCTGTGCGCAGGGAAGGCTTTTTCTGCGGAAACAACACGGCGAACCTGGAGCGTTTCTCCGTGTCTCAGTGCGAGATGAAGCTGACCAAACGACGCTCCTACTCGGTTATCAGCATCAACGAGATCGAGCGGCAGATCAACCACGTCGAGGAGAGCATCAGAGGTAATGAGAAATTACGCGTGCAGATATGATAAAAAGGCTGCAAAGCTCCATAAATTATGTGGGGTTGATCGGATGCCAGTCTCTACGCAGTACGCATACAGTCGATGTGATTTTAATCTAGTCATTGCTGATGCTCGGGCTGGTAGCTGAGTGATACTGTAAGTTTCATGATTAATTTGAACTCTCCCGATTTGTCACCGTCACTGCCCTTCCCGCGGTCAGAGTACATTTTCTGGTGGGTATCGGAGAAGTCACCGGATGTGTTCTGGACCACGCTGGCCGATGTCTCGTCGCTCGAACAGTGTGTGCTGCAGTGCGCCAAACGCTTCATCTGCGTCGGAGCGTAAGTTTCCCTTATATCTAACCGATGTGCGGAGCCGTGCCTATTGTCATTTTGTCATTATACGAGCTAACCCGTTTCCTAGATTAATCAAGAAACAATTACACACAAAATTTTACAGCGCATTTCATCCGCATATGTAAGTACTTTATCATTCAACAAATGCTAGTTTAGCAGTACAATAGTTATGTGTCTCTCTGACCGTTCTGAGTGTCTCCGCAGGGACGGCTGTTCGTGCGGCTCCCTGCGCAGTGATCGCTCCGAGGTCCGGGTACGGGAGTGGGTGAAAACCAGACACAAGCAGGAGATGGGCTCCAACCAGGGTTACCTCATGCTGGACAAGGAAGGAAACGCCAACGGTAGGCGCCGCTCGCAGCTGTGATTGTGTATGTGTTGCCGCGAGATAATTATTTCGGTATTTTTGCGGTAAGTCGATTATACGCTATGATCTTCTCTGCCAAGAAACACCGAATAAGAATAAGAATTGACACGAGTTTATTGTTATCCCGTTCACAGAGAATCACAACTGACGTAATAACGTTCACGTAAAATGCCACGGTCACGAAACAAATATCACAGCTATTGACGTCACAGCTTTAAGCACTCAAATCTGAAACTATTCAATGAAACATTACATCCGTACCTATAGAAACACGCATTTAACTTGCGACTCTTTGACCGCCATTCCGTACCATTACATTGCACTACCCACCGCCGTCAGTGCCCGAGGGGTGGACGTGCACCACGGAGCCGACCAAGTGGCGGCAGGCTCGGGATTCCACCCTCCAGGGCTGCCTCCAGGCCTGCCGCGCCGCCAACAACTCGTTCGCGGCCTTCGGACAGTGAGTGCCGACTGTACACTGCCTCATCCAGGAGGAGAGGGCCGCCGATTTAAACGGGCATCGATGTCGGCACAAGGCCGTCGAACAGACGATCTCTTGATTTGTGACCTGGAACGAAAAAAAAAACACACGAATAGTCCCTTTTGCAAATTTTTAATCAACGAAAAAAAGCTAAACTATTGTACTTCTGGCGCTCGGGGTGTGAACTCTTGTTCGATCGCAGCCCTTGTCTCACGCCGGCCGTCACCCTCGTCCACCCACAGGAGCGGGTGCCGCTGTGGAGACTCGGGCGAGGGATTCAGCCACCTGGCCATGGTCCACTGCCAGAACCCTCAGGCCAACGCCGAGACCCGCCCGCACTCGGTCTTATTCGTCGACGTATGGACGCAAAACTATCAAAAGTACTCCACCAAACGTGAGCTCAGAAGCGCTTTTACGTTAAAATAAAACGAATCAAATTTGTCCTAGTTATCCAGAAGCAGAATACTGAGACACCAAAACTTATGGATGTATTTCATTTGTTAGATGACGCCTGCCTTTAGACTCACCTGCCATTACCGCGCACATCTCGCCCTCTCAGGAGTGAGTTCCGAGTCCGACTGAGTTCGAATGTGCCCGACTTTAGCTGACAATCTGAGCTGGGACCGGCTGACCGGGCACTCTGTCCGCCCGGCAGCCGGTTTTCAGGCGTTCTGGGTGTCTCAGAAGCCGAGTGGCGTTCGCTGGGAGGCCGCTCCCGGCCGCACAGTGCTGGACGACTGCGTCAGCGCCTGTCAGGACAGAAAGGGCGTCAAGCTCGTGCTGGTGGGAGTGTGAGTACCGCCGCACGTGCAGTGTCCAGTGACACTTCACGGAGCTGATGTTTGCCTATATCGGGGAGGCCGGTCTTTGACAGAATTGGATGATATTCAAAGTAGTATAATGTGTAGGTATATGAAATATGCGAGCAAGTAATTACAGAATACTCAGTACCCACACTCCCAATACATTTGATATTCATAGTCCAAGCAGTTCAAACGAAATGCAGAGGCCGAATTATCATCAATTCAACTCATACAACACATGGCAGAACATCGGTCAACAGTAACACCAGTTCACAAAGATCTCACGCACAACGAGGTGACGACAGACGGACAGAACCACATCTCGAACACACACCCAAGGACACGTCGGTCACAGGTATCGTCTGATAGTAAAAAGTCACTAGTCTCACGCACATTTTCACACCTCCCACGCCTGGATCCGACTGTCACATCTGTCCACTCCCGCTAACACGCCGTGGCCGTTGCTGGTAGGGACGGCTGTGAGTGTGGCATCACCACATCGGCCGGCTACCGACCGGCCATGGCCTGGGACGCCCGGCCGCCGGCCAGCGCCGCGCGCGGCTTCCTGCTCGTGCAGATGAACAAGGCGTCCACAGGTCAGTGACGAGGACGGGAAGTGGCCGGGCCGCCGACCAGACCGGCCAATTCCGTGGCAAATTAACGACAGAATAGAATGCATTTCGAGGTTTCGATGTTTGAGGTTTGGTTGAATTATTTACAGATCATATTTAAAACTGGTCGCCATGTAGCTGATTAGGCACACCATTCATGCAATAAGATTCGACAACCGTGCAGAGCTATTCTGTACCTGACACTGCTCGTTATAACTATGTCCCGATGAGCGGTCGGCAGATGTGACCGACGCTGTGTCTGCACGGTGCGTGTACTTGTTTCGCATTTGCAGGGTACGTGGAGCCCGTGTTCGAGTGGATCACGAAGAGAAACAACACCCACAAGAAGGAGAACGAGGTCAAAGAAGCGCCCACCTGGATCAGAGGTGAGTGACAACGCCTTGAACTGCGGAACGCCAAAATGGATGGATTGAAGCCCGCTGTACACCACCAGAAACTAAACACAAAACAAAAACTAAGTTCTTTCAAAAGCTTTCTATGCCAGCTTTTCTGGGGATCAGTAATAAAATGTACCCTTTATAATCGTCATTACAAGTGCCTGATATGTAAAAATGAATGAAAAGTGGGCAGTGACCACCACTAACCGCGCCCTTCGCCCGGCAGTGACGGTGGCGCACTCGAACCGGAAGAGCCTGCGGCGGCTCTCACATCTCAGTAAGGAGGAGCGGCTCTCACAGAACCTGGAGCGGACCGTGGGCACGAGAGGCAGCCGCGGCCTGAGCCAGCAGCGCGAGCACAGCACCATCGAGCAGCGCTCCACCACGCTGCACGGCCACCACGAGCGGGCCACCAACCACACAGGTAGAACGGCTCTCACGAGTGAGCTACCAAACACACAGGAAGGCCGAAGGCGAGTAGAGTACAGGATCGCCAACCACACAGGTGGAAGCTCACGAGCGGGTCGCCAGTCATCGCCCATTGCGCTGAATCTGTCAGCAGTCACCTAGCAGGTCTCTGACCACACCGATACCCTCTCGGCCGCTACTAAGTCTCTTCAGTTCATACCAACTTGGCTTATCGCCTGACTGGCCCTGTCAACCAGACTTCATCTTCCCATGTCGTTCTTCAGGTGCCACTGATCAGAAGGAGGTCTCCAAGCTGGCCAGGAACACGACCAAAGTGGCCAAGACGAACCGGCGGAAGAACGTCATGAACGAGAGCGAGAGGAACTACGTGTCAGGTGAGACGCCGTATAGGTACAGGGAAAAAATTAACGCAGGGTAAGCTCTCCGACCGCAGCTCGAAAAGACGTCGCCTTGGTGACCTCAAACTACCTATTCCAGGGAAGCTAGTGCTGCCTAGAACTAGAACTAGAATCCTTAGATCTTGCTTTCTTCTGCTCAACACGACAACTGGTATAAAATGAGAGCAGCTATTGAATAAGCCGTGCTACTGAAATTCGTGCGCAATATTCGCTTTATTCAATCTGCACTGTTTTTGTACGTCTCCATAGCGCGGGACAACGAGATAACGGTGGGCTCCAACAAACGGCGACTCGTCAACATCGAGACGGAGAACGCCGCCCGACAGTCGGCCGAAAACTATAAGAAACACACGAGTAAGACAGGGGTAGTAGGGCGGCTACAATGGCTCGTTATGTTGTTCGAATGTAAACCACTTGTCGAATGCCGATCAATAGCAAATCATCGAAAAGTATAGACATTTTTATGCTATGGTGCGTAAAGTGAAACGCCTTTATCGAAAGCATAGCATTTATCGATAGCATGACACCATAAGGTTATTACTTACCGCCTGCTTTAAAAATGTCTTTTCGTCGGGATACGAAACGATAATATGTCATCGATATAACGTTCACGATCCAATGAAGCCGGCTGACGAGCAGGTAGGGTGACTGGCGCTAGTCGTGCTGTGGTTAAATAAGATTCTGTCTCCCGCCAATGCCACCAGTCACGGGCGAGCAGACTGCCGGCACCATCGAGCAGTTCATTTCCGGCGAGAAGGCCCACCTGGTGCGAGTCAACAGCACCAACACCAAACTGCTCGAGAAAAGCGTGGCCGGTAGGTGGCAGCAGCGGCGCCGCGGCCACCGCAGAGGGCGCAGTTTTCCTAAGTGTAATGAGTGTTTACTGTATAATGCATATCGTCGAGTGCTGAAAGTGGACATGCTTCTTATTTAAGTAAACTAATGACCAAAATATGTGACTGTGATCCGCAGCAAATCAGACCCACCTGGCCACGGAGGCCACCTCGCACAAAATCCGACGGCTTCATCTGAGGCAGAGTCGCGTCACTGAGACAAAAAAGGGCAAAACGCTGAGCCGTGAGTACCGATTATGACATACAGCCGGCAAGAGACGAACTAACATCTGTCTCCTAAAATAGTGGAAAATTTTCAACTGATTTTTTGGTAGCTTTAAAATGTAACATCCTTAATGTATTTGCCATCATTCGAAAGCGCGTGAAATTCTGATTCAGATGAACCTAAAATATTTTGTCAATTGTATCATTCAGCAGCTATGTCTCGGCCGAATCGCATGCGTGATCTGGGAAGAGTCGCACAATTTTATCAAAACCATCGGGAATTGGGGAAAAAGTATACGGTTAAGCATTTTCTTGAAGAAGGTATTCCAAAATCAACAGTCTATAATGTTTTGAAAGGGGTCGATGATGGTGAAACACTGGAAAGACAGCCGGGGAGTGGGCGGAAGGCAATGAAAATGACACAATCGAAGATCAGTAACGTAAAAAGGGATCTGGCACACAAAGTTGGCTCTTCGGTCAGGGTTTTGGCCAGAAAATACAAGATTTCTAAGTCGTATCTGCACAGAGTGGTCGCAAACAAATGTGGTTTGACCTACTACAGGCGCAAGAGAGCCAGTCTGCAAACAGAGGCCCAGAAAACCAAGATCAAGTCGCGCTGCATGAGGCTGTACCGCGGACCACTCGCCTTGAGCGCACGCGCAGAGATCGTCATGGACGACGAGTCGTACTTCGGATTTTCGGGATCCGAATATGCCAGGAACAGGGGGTTTTATTCATCACAAGACAAGAGCAACTGCCCTCCCGACGTTCAGTATGCCAGGAAACAAAAGTTTCCGCCCAGGATAATGGTTTGGCTCGCCATCAGTCCAAGGGGCCTGAGCACCCCCTTCATCATGGAGAAGGGGTGCGTGGACGGTCAGACGTACCTGGAAAACTGTCTGAGGGGCAGATTAGTGCCCTTCTTAGACGAAAAAACATCCTGACAGGAACATCTTGTTCTGGCCGGACCTGGCATCGTGTCATTATCACAAGGATGTGACAGCATTTCTCGAGGCCAGCGGGATCCCATTCGTCAAGAAGGAGGATAACCCACCAAACATGCCCGCCATCCGCCCAATCGAGACGGTGTGGGCACTTCTGAAGCAGAAAGTCTACGAGGGCAACTGGACAGCCCTTTCGAAGCAGCAGCTGGCGGGCAGGATCCGAAGAAAAATCAAGGAAGTGGACATCGAGGTTGTGCGCACCCTCCTGGAGCGCGTGCCCGGGCACCTCCGTCTCGTGGGTCGTGAGGGCGCCGATGCCCTGATCTAGACATGTGTGTGAGTGAAGCACAGTCGCCCACATATTCGTGGAAAGTTTCATGAATAAATATGGTATAGCCTCTGAGTTATCGCATTTGGAAAATTTTCCACTATTTTAGGGGACAGATGTTAAATAGTGCATCTGTAAACAAAATACCTGAGTGACTTTTGAACCTGTCATTTTCAGCTCTAAGGTAGGTGGGTAGATTTACTGAAAGGCAAATGGATTTTTAAATGATAGAAACCATGGGCCAGCATATTTAGTTACATACTCACTTCACTCACAAGTCACAACTGCTGACAAATGAGCCCGTCCCCAACATTTGCACCGCAGTGAAGATCCATATTGGCGGCCGCTGTTACGTCGGCCCCGCGAAGAAGGACGAGTGGGAGGGGCCGCTGCCCGACAGCCACTCACCCTTCAAGTGCCTCTGCACCTGCATCAAGAAAATGCGACTCCTCTACGCCATCTTTGACGGGTAGGATGCAGGTGCAGCGTTATTTTTTTCTAGTTGCATGACCCGGTTATTTCATCTTCTAAACTGGCCTTACGACAAAATACTCCACAAAGTTTTATTCTGACCTCACAGAAAACTAACAGACTAATATGCTCTTCAGTAAAAAATATGGAGCGTGTCACAGCCCCATCAACATAAAACCCACCATTATGCGCTCTAAAATTATAAGCCGAAGCGCATCACCGATCTACGTACGAATGCCGGTACTCAATTATGAGCCATAGAAAGGATCAACTGTCATTTTCCCAACCGTCCGTTTCTGATCTCGTGACCTCCGTTAGCGGGCAGTGTTTCTGCTCGGAGAAGGCGGGCGACTTCGGCACCAATACCGGCTCCATCACGACGACCGGCCGGTGTCCTCAGAAGAACGCGCGCACCGTCTATAACGGCATGAAGCACACACAGAAACTGGCTCAGTTCTGCCAGCGATCTAACGCAACGGGTGAGTGGTAGGCGGCGAATGTAACATCCGTTCAGCATTTGTGTAACAACTGTTTGAACATCTGTCCGAAAGAACATGGAAACTTTTATCCCGTAATAGCCGAAATTCAATGTAAAGGTCATACAAACCGTAGGCGGCTCCCTACTGTAGTTAAATAACCGCCCATAGATGGCACCACTGACAAACGCCTGAAGTTATGCTGTGCCGCAGGGACCGAGGGTTCTGTATAATCGCCCGGGGTGGCTCACGATGGACAGACGGTCGAACTTTGACGGCGCACGCCGCACAGCTTCATATTTTCTGGTTCATTCTTCCTAAAAAAAGTACTTTATCGGACACTCTTCATCAATTAATCAGGGGCCCGGGAACGATTTTCAAGTTGGGGGGGGGGGGGGCGAGCCTAAAATACCTGACATGATTAATATGAAACAGTAGCGTAGCTAGGGGTCTAAGGGGACACGCACCCCCCCCCATCGGATTCAAAGGGACCTCGTGGCCCTGCGGCGCCATTTGACCGCTGAAGGTTAACGATGGCCATATTTCGACTCAGAAGGGCCCCATGGGGCTCGTTAGAGCACCTCAGGGGCCCTAAATAGCCACACTAAGATCTCCATAAGGGCCCCACGCCGGCTTCTGAGGGCCTCTTGTGGCTTTTAAGGGCCTCTCGGTGGTCTCCAGAGGCCCGTTACTGGCCTCTGAGAGTTCTTACCGGCCTAATGAGGGGCCAGTTCTAGAGGCATTTCCCGCCTGTGATGGTCCCACACTTATTTTTTTAGGGCCCCATAACGGCAACTGTGGGGGCCCTCATCGGCGCCTATGAGGACCCACACCAGGGCCTCTGAGGGTTTCACGCCCCCAACTCTGAGTGCCTACACCAGTGCCTATTAAAGCCCTATATTGGCGGCTCTGAGGACCCAATGGTGACCTTTGAGGGCCCCACACCGGTGACTCTGAGGGCACCGCCGGCGTCTGACAGTACCTGCCGGTCTCAAGGACCCCACAGGACTTCTTCTGCCGGCCAAAGGGCCCCTTGCCGGTCACTGAGAACCCCTGCAGGCTTGTAGAGGGTTCACGTCAGCAGCTCTCTGCTCTAAAGGCCCCATACCCGTCTGTAACGGCTCCACGCCAGCGTATATGAGGGCCCACAGCAACGCTTGTAAGGACCCTCACCGGCGCCTCTGAAAGAATCACACTAGCACCTCTGAGCGCCCACACCGGCACCTGCATAACGGCCCCACACCAGTGCCTCTAAAGGCCCCTTACCGGCGGCTCTGAGAGCCCTACGCCGGTGATTCTGAGGGTGCTACCGATAACTGAAGGCACCATACAAGCCCTTAGTGTCGCTGAGCATCCCATACCGGCCATCCGAGGGCGCCACGTCAGCGCACCCATTGTCCCACACCCCTCCCTCACACCCGGAGCGGGTAAACTGTGTTATACCCATAACAACGATTTTACCACCGTTGTACGTTATGTATTTCTCAAAGTTAACTCAAAATGATCAGCATAAAATCTGGCTTGCCAATGGCCAAGGTCAGGCCCAAACCAAAGCGGGATGACAATAGCAGATGTTGTCGAATCGATACTGTATGAGCAGAAACTATTCAGATGGCTAGGGAAATGCCGTGTCTTGATGTTTAGATGTATAAAGGAAACAAGAAGGAAAGAAGCTCGGAAAAGGGAGGAAAGATCCTTTCTCGCTGCCTCATTGTTGAGGGGGCGCCGCCCCCTCGGCTCTCAAGTTGGGGGGGGGGCAAGCGCCCCCGCTCCCCCCCTGTTCCTGGGTCTATGCAATTAATAGTGAAATAATTGAGTTATTATGGTCATATATACGTACCATTTTTACTATGCTCGTTTGAATTACTAATGCTTTATGCGTGCATTGCATCCACAGCCAGCAGCGTGCTACATTTGGGCCGAACGACTTTGAACGCTGGCCACCGGACCATCGAGTTCAACAACACAGAAAACCTGCGGGCGCTGAGGAAATCCAGCAAACTCGCCTGTAAGGATGTCATAAATAGGGCTGTCACCAATAACTCACACCAGATGACCGGTTCTCCTGGATAGGTAGGAGCTGCCGGACGGACAAAGAGTAATTAATGTCTTAATAACCTTTGGGTCAATTTTCGATTAGTCTATATGAAATACGCCGGCAACTGAAAATACGTAACTCTTCTGAGTAGAACATTAGCTGTGCATAATGAATATAAAGGGCTGAGTTTAACTGGTTCACCCATGCGTTATTAGGATGCTCCATGGACGGGGATGACTAATCTGAGCTGACCCGCCCGTCGCCGGCAGCCACCCATCTGCACCGGTCCGAGAAGGACGTCAAAACGGACGTGGTGCGCCAGCACAAGAAACGGGGCACCATCAAGGAGACTTGGAAGTCCAAACTGTCCAAAGGTAGGCGCATGGACGGAACATCACTGGGGCTGATGTATCTTTTCATCCACGAACGCGAACTTTTTGAATATTGTAAGTCAGGCTAAGCATAAAAGTAAAACTCAATTAAGCTTCTACTTTTCACAGGCAGAAGGCAGAATGGCGCTCCAGTATGCCAGAATTCATTTATTAATCGTCTGAGTTTGCGCCCCGGATCTGCCCCCAGGGGTGTTCGACCAACTGTACGCGCTCTGTATTCAGGGGTGTTAGACCCGTCATGTCCCCACGGGGAGGGGGCCGGGAGTTGACCAGCTGTGTGTCTCTGACTCTGACTCCATGGATGTTGGAATCGGCTGTACCGGCTCTGTCCTTAACGATGAATGACCGGCTATGTCTCCAGGGGTGATTGACCAGCTAGGACGTCTCTATCCCCAGGGGTGTTTGACCGACTGTACCGGCTCAAACTGCATGTGCGGCGAGCTCACAACGTCACAGAGAACGTCAACCTCATCACCAAGAAGGACGTCCGGTCCAGCACCCACAAGAGAGGGCCCCTCTTCCTGCCGCGCGGCAGAGCGGCGCACAAAGCAATACAGGTTATACCGGTCCGCAGGTCGAAAGAGAAGAAGGCACCAAACTAAAATAAACGTAAAACTAAGGAGTGCAAGAAATGTAATGGTCTGGACAAAACACGTCTGGACGGTAAATTATGCAATTCATTATGGAACAACAGTAGAAGCAGCGGGTGACGATCAATTTTGACAGTTTTTATCCGACGGAATCTTATCGAGCGACTAGCAGTTCTTTTATAGCAACATGTATGTACTGTCAACTGTGTTAGAGGCGAGGCCATGCTGGATTTAACGCCACAGGACACGTGAACGTGATGTGGCATAGAAAAATAAACGAAAAACGACTGCATCAAAGCATTTATTGAGCCGAGAAACAATATAAGAGTAATAGCAAAATTTAACCGTCTTTTGCACTCATAACATACCTACTTTCAAGATCCGTAAAAATATAGCCCTAGGTCACATGTCAGGTCACAGCCCAGCATCAAGAAAACTTACCTACGCTCTTTCTCTAGCTACTACACTGACCAAGGGATCGTTTCGGAAGTTTCGGCGATTGATAACAATTAACCCGCGCCCTGCTGGGCCTGGGGGTATTTGAACACTTCTTTGCGGTTTGTCACCAAATCTATAAAACAGCGGCACGGAGCGCCGTCCTTTTTGGCACAACTTATCATACTCATACATCTTTTCTGCATGTAAAACTCAGACCAAACTCTCAAGGTCAGGTCACCAGGTCACGTCAAGTGACCTCGCTTCAGAAAAAGTTTCAATGCTTGCCATAGCTACACCGAGTGACAGATCGTTTCAAAACTTATTGATAAGGGCAACAGTGTGTATGAAATGTGCATCTCGGACCTTTGATATCGGTGACCTAAGATCAGGTCAATTTTGCGCCCTCCCCATCGCAATTAAATTGAAAAAAACTGAGAGACGTCTCTCTTGTACGAACGGCATTCTTAATACTCAAACATTAGGTTAAACATGACACACTGAACCGGAAAATGGCACCCATGACCCCTATATGTCCTTAAGGTCATCTCAGGTCACGAAAGGTATCAATTATCCAACAGTTTTCCGCTAAGTTTTGATAGATGCGTGCTGGAGCAATGCAAATACCATAGTGCCCAGCTTAAAGGTAGTGTGCCACCTTCCAATGATTTCCCATTTTATTTTTCCTAGGATAAGAAGCTTCTTTTTTTACCTAATATCGCAAAAAAAATCAAAAATTGGCGTAAAATAGTGTTTTTTTTTCGCCTAAAAGTTTATCGGTTTTTCGATATGTATAACAACTGTAGTGGGCTGAGTGCTGACCTGCAAACAGGCGTCGGTAACAATCGCGAATGCGGCGCACATGTGACAATAAGCAAAGGTCATTATAGAGTTACGACGTACGGGAATGAGTTATCAGCTGTCTAATCGTAGACAACACAATGTCGAATTTAAACTGTAAGCCTGTATTGGTATTGTTTCTTTAATTTGGCTGTCGAGCATTAATTTATAGTTTGAAATATTATTTTATGTAAAATGATTGATATGAAACAGCCGTCTCTAAAGCTATGACCCCATCTCACCACATGAAAGTGGCAGAAATGACAATGATCAGCTGACGCATTTTTCTTGGCCGAAGACAGAGCGCGCGGCCCGACGGTTTATTATAGGTATCTTGGCCGACGCACCACCACCGCACCACAAAGTATGAGCAGAAGCCACCTGCGGTAGACCGCGCCCAAAGCCAGGGCCCCGGTAACGTGAGGTAGCCGAGTCGGGGCAGCATGCGCTGACCCAAGCCGGGGCCGCGACTTTGGGCGCGGTCTACCGCATCCCCGGGCAGCCCCGGGCTATCACATGACACCGGGAGGACGCGCAGCCCCAGCTTGGGTCAGCGCACGCTGCCCCGACTCGGCTACCTCACGTTACCGGGGCCCTGGCTTTGGGCGCGGTCTACCGCACCACCTAACAGGCGTGTTCGAAACCGCAGGAGATGATGATGAACGGGTTTATCGAAACTTGATTGGATGAGCCTATCGGTGGTAGCGATTTCAGTGTAAGCATTTATTGTTCATAGTGCTGTGAAATGTGGTTGGGGTACGACCGACAACCCATCGGGGCGAATTTCGCACTGGGGTACTCAAAATTTGAAGAATTTAAGACGTTTCCATGAGTTTTGAAGGCATGGATAAGTTCTAAAAATCCGGTTCTCCTTATCTGGGCCATTAACTCCATACGGTCCAGGAAAGCTGGCACACTACCTTTAACGATACGGATCGACTGATGCGCAATGCCACCTTTTCTTGTTAGGTCACTCATGACCTTAACCTGAGATCAAATTTTTAAGTTGACCTTTTAAGGTCAACTAAAAGGTAGTTCATATGGCGCGTCCCGACGAGAGAAACACGATGCCGTTAAAAGTAACTCCGTGCAAATTTTGAGTAAAAATCATCGCAGAAAAAAAAACTTCCGTAAAAAACGTCCAGCATATTTCCGTATTTACCCTCTGCATGCTAAGCCGTTGACCTTAGGTCAAACCTGAGAAAATTACTCAGAAAGAGCGTTAACAAGGCTATTAACTTTTCTGTCGCGCTATAGCTCTATTAATTTCCGAGTTATGCGCCGGTTTGTCGAAAATTGTCGGAATAGTCGACCTTGACCTTCGACGACTTCTGGTGACCTTACCCTCGACCTGACCTAAAAATGACCTAAGTTGTTTTGTCATCATTTTGACGCTCTTTCAAACACCGTTTACCGCGTGTCGCTAATTGGCCGGGTTAGAAGGGGAGGAAGTGCAAACTTCACCCCCCCCCCCCGTGGAATCAGGGTGTTCATATCCCCCCCCAGGGTTGTGCTCGACTAAAAAAAAGTTGCCGACTCGACTCATCATTCAACTTCAGAAAGCCCTGACTCAACTCTGACTCAAACAAGGAGCTGATTTTTCCCTTGACTCGACTCATGACTCAAGCGGCTCAATGAAAATATGAGTTGACTCAAACTTGACTCAAATTTTTTGTTGAGTCAAGTGTGTTGACTCAAAATTGACTCAGATAAAAAAGTTGTTGAGCGGGGGGGGGATGAAAAAAAAATCCGGCAGCAGGGCCAGGCCTAAGTTGTTAAGCGGGGGAGAATGAAAAGCTTATATATATATATATATATATATATATATATATATATATATATATATATATATATATATATATATATATATATATATATATATATATATATATATATATATTGTTTCTAAAAAAGATGAGTCAGCTGACTCATGTTCCTAAATGTTTTTGACTCAGCTCAATGTCAAAAGTTATTTTACTGACTCAACTCTGACTCAACTCAACATCTTAATATTTTTGTCTGACTCAACTCTGACTCAACTCAACAGCTCCACATTTTATCCGACTCGACTCAAACCTGACTCATTTGAGTCAGAGTTGAGTCAAATTTCTGACTCGACTCATGAGTCAAGCACAACCCTGCCCCCCCCCCCCCCCGTGGAATCCAGGTTCCCCAGCGGGGCGCGGGTTAAAAGATGGATGAGACATTAACTTCGAGTTTCCAACATTGATGGCCTTTATGTCAGACCAATTTTGCGACCTCCCCATTTTACCTCTCGCACTTCTAAGGAGGAGTTGGATGTGCCCAGTGGCGGCGGAACACCTTCAATTAAGGGGGGCACTGCCGACTTTTGGTCCAATTCCTTCCATGCAACGCCCATAGGGTTAATGTTAAAGGAAGGGTGCCACCTTCCGAAATTTTTGTTCTATGAATCTATTTTACTTATTTGAATTTTTAGACGTGGTTAGCGCGTCCACAATATACAAAAAACCGAAACATTGCATTTAATATATTGGCCAAAAAAAAAGATCGTTGTTTATATCACCACTACAACTCAAGGTCGTTTGATGTGGCAGCTAGGACGGCTGGCATATCCTGTTGTCATGGCAACATATCATTCTGCCATTTGCATTGATGGCGCAACTGAGACAAAAGATGAACAAATAAAAAGGAAGAAGATAACATGATTTGAACTAAGTTGTAGGTAACCAAGTAGGTAACTGTTGGCCATATTTGCCAACAGTTAAAGAACATCAAATAAGTCGAGTAAAGGTTTTTCCTTTACAATGCTTAACCCGCGCCCCACTGGGGGGGCTATTTATAGCCCCCCCTCCCGTTTTTCTGCAATAACTTCCAAACCGCTTGACGAATCGACGCCAAACTTTCAGTACCTTCGGCTGCATCGTCAAAATTTGAACTTCGTAGCTACCATAGGTCGCCCGGAAATGACGTCAGAGTGACGTCATGTTCGTCCGATTTCGACGCAAAACATTGAACCACGGCAATCGCTCCCAAGAGCTCAGTTTTTAAGCTAGATCCAATTTCTTTGCATGAAAGAACTCAGAATTGACCGCGCTATCAAACTGCTATCTCGGATTTTGAAAATTTTGAAAATTTTGAAAATTTTGAAAATTTTATATAATAATATTCAATATCTATATTTTTATATTTTTTCAAAAAGTTTTTGACTTTTCGAAAAAACCGGAATATATGTGACAGAACGCATGATTATGACTAACTCTAGCAAGTTTTAGCTAAATATCTTCAAAAATGGCCAAGTTATACGCATTATTGCAAAAAATTCACAATTATTAATTTTTCAAATCAATTTTTCAGTACGTATTTGGCATCGTACACCAATATAAATGGCACCATCGTGTTCCTGAGCTCAAACTGCATCCAATAGACACCTTTTTTGTTGAAAAATTTCAACTTCAAAATTTGACCTTTTTTGACCTGAAAGTGACCTGACCTAAGCTAATTTCGACTCAAAATGACCTTGAATGACACAGACGACATCAAATTCGAAATCTATGGCCTAAATGGACCATAAAACATGTGTCACGTGACCGACGCATGATATAATATTTTCGTGACCTGTGATGACCTGACCCTGACCTGAAAATCAAAGTACAAGTTTGGTACCCTCAAGGTATCTAGAGCATCTGTTCACGAGTGTGGAAACCAAAAATGAGCCTGATCTGACTTGTAAGACGGCGGCCAGAGCCCAAAATGTGAACAAGCCAAAGTGCTAATAATTTTTACTTTGACCTGACCTGTGACGTCATCGGTGACCTCGAGGTCAATGAAATTAGGTTTCGCTCGACAGTTTTTCCGGGGCTATCAGACGCCGTTTGAATTTTGACGATCGGCCCAGTAGTTTCGGAGTTAGGAGGGGGGGCTATGAATAGCCCCCCCCCCCCCCCCAGTAGGGCGTGTTATACACAGACCCCAGTGGGGCGCGGGTTAA